AAGTATAAGAAATATTTAAAAATTATATCAAAGTAAATATTTTTATGTATAAAATAAAATTTTAAAATTATATATATAATGTTGGGTTGGTTTGGTTTCGGGTTGGTTTTTTTAGTTAAAACCAAACCAACCCAAATATAGTCGGGGTTTTTTTTTCAATACCAAACCAAGTCAAACCAACCACTAATCGAGTTTTTTTCTCGGTTTGACTCAATTTGCGATTTGATTCGATTTTCGGTTCGATTTTGTACACCCCTAATGAAAATCATATAGCCATCAATGAACATGGCCTAATTAAATAAACTTCCTCCTATCTTTTATTGTGAAAAATTTGGTCATACCATTAATTGTTATGGGGATAATTCTGCTAATATAAATAAAATAAACCTCTAGATGAATCAAATAAAGCCACTAATTCTGGTGAAGGTGGTGGCAAAACTAACCCTACAAAGGATAATATTTAGGTGAAACTATCAAATTACATGAAATAATTATATTTTATCTCACTAATTATTAATTTCATACAAGATTAATTCAAGTCAAATATATTTAGATTTATAATTTTTGCTACCAGATTTACTGAAATAGAAAAAGAGACGAGCAAGAACAAGGAGGCGAGTGAGATTTGTCTATATATTTCAGATATATGTGAATCATACTAGATATACACTAGATACCTCACATGTATCTGGTGTGATTTCGCATATATCTGGTGTGATTTCACATGTATGGGATACCAGATACACGAGTAAGATAGGGGAATAGCGAGCAAGATTTATCTATGTATCGTAGATACATGATAATCCACATGCATACAATGTATCTAGAACAAATTACACTTGATTTTAACCCCATATATCTGGACATATCTGGACACACTAAAAACTGATAAAATTTATGATATTGCAAACTAATATATTTAATAATTAACTCGAAAACTAGTAAGATTATCCGAATATTTATGGTTCCTGAATAGTGCAATGTGGTTCATGAAAATATAATGGCAAAAATAATGAAAAAAACACAAACATGAATATTCAAATCATACAATTATTTTGTTCATATAATACATAAAATATATGGTAAGATTGGTAGACGTTGCACATGAATATGTTCCCTATATGTTAGGGAATAAATGCCTTCATTATTAACAAAAGAATATAATACAACAACAATAAGGCATTAAACAATTTATACTAAATTATTATTAGACAAAACGATTTATAAGGTCAGTTTTAAACAAGAAATATTATAGCTCTAAATAAATTACATATACAGAAATAAATATGCTACACTCATTATTAATACATACAACTTACAAGCACTTCATAATAGTAGCATTAATACATAACACACTATTTAATCCGGACAAGCACCAGCTATAATCGATGAAATTTTGATCGATTATATTCATTTTAAAAAGTCAACCTGATTTCATCCATTTCTGTTCTTGCATTTCTCCATTGCCCTTGGTGCTGAAGTTAAATTCGAAAAATAATTCAGTGTTATAATCAATATCATAATGCTAAGTAAGCTAGTTGGTTAATTAACTAGAATTACAATTTTGCAGTAAATTAATCTAAAGATAAAATAAATGACAATAAAACAGTAATTAATAAGTAATATATATCATATATCATATATCATATATCATACCTAATCCAATTGCTTCAGTTCCTTTCATGATGCGCAAGCGTTTGCAAGAATCAACAAACATCCTGTTCATTAAAATGAAATAATGTAAAGTTATTAATTAAGTGAAAATATAGGGGCATAAGTATATATAGTGTTATGTCCATGATGGAGGATGGGTCATGGAAGGATTGATAGATTTTTAGGTTGATAAGCTTTTGAAAAAGGGGTGCAGATGACATAGCTTAGGAGAATTCCACATTGAAATGAGATAGAAAAATGAAAAGTTTTATAAAACATAATAAAAGTTCACATGGTACACATACTTATGATTTCGAAAATAGCATAGAACAAAGGACAAATATTTAAAGTCTTTTAGGCCGAAGGAGACAATACATGTACTATGTTATAGGGTGTAGTGACAAATATGATATCAAAGTCGGGTTTAATTTCTCTTTTAGTACGGCGGTGGGCTAGACCTATGAGAGGGACAATGAGCCCTTAATAGAGTGAGTGTCTGTGATGCCTATGACGGAAGGCGGACTAATGAGGAGGAGATACATATATAGAAGTACCATCAAATGTCTAAGGTAGAGAATTCAAAAGAAGAGGTGTACATGACACCTTCAACAAATCTCACATCGAAAGAGAGAAGGAAAGTAAAAATAAGTTTTACAAGGCATAGTATAAGTTCATATGATATGCACACTTATATGCTCAGTGATGGCATAGCACACAAGGAATAAATTTGTAAGACATTTGGGTCAAAGCTACTATATCAGTATATTTAACTTAAATTCCTCACAAATAGATTTATAAAAAAACATGTTGACAGTGAAAAAACACTTTTACATACGTCATTAGTACAGTTTAACATGTGATAGCAAGTTAATTAAAATCTTTATCATGTCATCATCCATTATTGTCTACCATAAAATTTATTTGTAACTATCTTATAAACAACTTAATTATATAAATATTTTACACCATCAATGAGTATATATAAAAAAAAAAAAAATTAAAATATAGTATATAGTTGAGGTGTCAAAGTCTTACCCCCATGGGACATCTCCAACAAGCATCCAATCACCATCTTTGTCTTCATAGGTAGGAACATAATCAGAACTATTCAAAAGGTCCATCAGTTTCCTCTCATTCATGAAGTCTTTCATTCCTTGGACTATTTCACAGTTTCATTTCAGTCAGTAATAAAACATATACATACAAATTATAATAAATGATCTGAAAATAAAATTTAACCTATATAACATACAAATCTATATGCTTCGATTGGAACTGAAAGTTTCAGAACAGGTGACTAGTATACCACAATAATCAAATCTCCTTTTTTTTTTTTATTCGGTTAGGAATTATGTTGGCTTCGTTGGGAGGCTCGTGTAGTTTGTTATGTCAGCTTCAAAAGGATAAGTTGTGTTGGAATTGATAAAGTTCCATGTGTACATTCTTTATTAATATAATTTAACACTTATTGTGTATAGGTTATCTTACATATTTTTCATGTGATTAGTTTCACCTAAATAAATAGTTATGTATAGTTATTTTTTAGTTGATCAATAGTTGGTAAAAAATAAAATTTTAGTGGGAAAATTCAAAATATAAAAGAAAATATACACATTGAAAAAGCTAAGAAAATTAAAATAATATAGTATAACACATTAAAATAAAAATAAATCGAGCTATGAACTATCCACATAACTTAATTTTTCAATGAAAAGGTGTTAATTAACTTCTTTTGGACAAAGGTGAGTCCATGCAACTACAAATAGTATAATATAACTAAATTCACTTTTTGTACTTATCTTAAAATGTAATTCTTTTTTTTTGTATTCTCAAAGTATATAAATTATATAAGTGCAGCTAGCTAAAATATCAGTTATGAGTTCAACAAATAATACTAGTAGCTTTGGCCTATACATGTGTGAAGAAATCAATCTTAAATATATCACTAATTTATCTAAAACTCATTAATAATTTAGAATCTATAAATTCAATTTTTTAGATTTGTTCATGATAAAAAGTTAAATTCATAGAAAATATAAGAAGTAAATATGTCATACCAATAGTGAAGGAATTGAACATCTTGGCTAAGGCATCAGATAATTCTTGATAACTCTTGTACATGTTTAAGTCCACTTTTCTAAGGTAAGGTGCACCATCCATGCTCACCTTCACTAAAATATTGTCACTCTCTTGGCCAAGCTTCTGGGAAGTCAAAATATTCTTTCGAAAGGACCTTACTGGTGGCCAACCCACAATTTGTGTCCTGATCATTTGTTTATACATTCAAAGGAGTTATATACACTGATAGTATAAAAGATGAATATAAGTTCGTATGAATAGATTTGTTCGAATTTTTCAAAAATATTGCTGATTGTATGTCAAATTCTCCAAAAAAAAAATAGTGTATTTTTTTGAAAAATTCAATACGAATATAACATCGATTTTAAAGAGTCTTAACAATATAGTGATGGATATATACAACACATCGGTAAGAAATTTATCTGAACTCTATTATCTATTGATAATGGTACGATGCAACTTGAGGGCACCAGAACTACTCCGTGATTACCTATCTACCTCTCATCCAGAGGCAGAATTACAGTTCTGCTTACAAATTCGAAAAGCTCAGTAAATTCAATCTAAACTCTATATTTATACTCAAACATTCAGATAATATTTATAGATAATTTATTCATAACCTACTAAATAATTATATTTTCTAAAATACACCAAAAATCATAAACTCAAAAATTCTAACTCTCTACTAATTCATACCAACACAAATACTTGATGTCCATCAAAACTCAAATAGATGGACAGAAATCACCTAACATTTCATTTTATAGAAAAGTAAAAAAAAATAGAATTTAAAGACACATTAAAAAAAAATAGAATTTAAAGACACATACTTGACAGCTGGGGCTTTGAGTGTTGAATTCTTAATGTTGTTAATATCAGAAGAAAGATTGAGCTTCAAATCTACAAAACCTCTTTTACCATTAACATTATAAGTATCATTATCATCATGAACATTTTTTCTTCCTTCCCCAGGCAACCCTAGCCTTAATTCTGTCTCCTCAAAATCCAACTTATTACTACTTTTTTCTTCTTCCCCTATCATTTCTTGTTATTTTATTTAAGAGTACTTTTGGTTTGAGATAGAAAAGTGAGAGTTAAAATATATAGAGGGGAGAGAAGGAGATAAACTAGCAACTAGATTGGACTTGGTAGACCTTATTAAATTGTTACCCCACTCCCTTATTTTATATAACATTATTTGACTATGCACAAAATCAGGGGTCGAGGGAGCAAATGGTTCATTCGAACCTCCTCTGTCAAAAAATAAATTTTATATATATAAGATAACATTATTTTTAATGTATATCTTGCATCTAGGAAGAAAGACTTTTAGTTCATATAAAAAATGTATTATAAGAAACAGGGTAAAATTATGCTATTTTGAATAGTTTAAGGATAAAATTAGTCAACTTTTCTTATGGGAGTAACCATTAATTAGTTAGAAGGACATTTAAAGTTATTTGAGTAGTTGAATAGTATTTTTAAGCTAGTTAGTTAACTAATAACAAAAGCATTTTCTAGCCAAAAATATGAGGGAGGATAAATTAAAAAATACTTTTAATTTTTTCTCTTTTCATGTAAATAAATGATAATAAAAAAAAATCATTATAAAATAGAACGAAAAGAACACTTAATTACTAGCTAGCTAGTGGCTACCAAAAAATAAACTAGCCATTGAGAAAAATAAAAGGAGACAAAGAAATAACAATTGAATGAAATAGAGAAGGGTGTGTTTGTGCTAAAAAGAGTGTATAATGGTATTAATATGGCATATTAAAGGTGGTGGGGAATGGGTTGCTTTTGTCTTCACTTACTTTGATAAATGATTTGTTGACACTTGCTAAAGATTATGAGCTGGATTTTATATCTTGTTGGGTTATAATTTGATCTTATCATATGCTTGATTTATATTCTCATGCATTAACTTTCCTTTGGTATTTGTATCAGGTGTTTATATTTAATTAAATATAAAAATATATATTTAATGCTGGTAAATTTTTATCTTTTTTCCACCCTTTATTATTCTCAATTGTTTAATTATTCACATCGACTTAATTATTGATGATTTGATGAATTTGTGTGTGGAAACAAATAAAATTAAGGAATTGTAAGAAATTACATTATTTATTTAATTATGTATAATAATTAAAAATATTTTTATGAATATATATTAAATGAGGAATTCTTTCGATTTTTTTTGAGCATTTACTTTTTTATATTATAAAACTCCTCAATAAAATTTTTGACTTCACGATAAATAAAATAAGAATTGTGATGTTGGATTCCTTCCGATTGCATCAACTGCTCACTCACTTTTTCTCTTAAAAGACAATTCTTTTTCACACACCTCTATCAATTAACATTGAATACATTATTAACTTATCACTCTTTTCTTAAATATTTTCTAAATCCTATACGGTTCCGCCTACTCAAAACTAAGAGGGGATACCGTCTACTATTAAAATCTTGATTTTTATAATAGTTGCGTTCTTCTATGCAAGAAGAAGACTTAAAAAGAACAAAGAAGATTGGATCCGTAGATACCGGGCTTGGAACATCTCACCACACGCATACTAAAAGCGCGATCTTGAAACTAGAAACTCTGATTTTGAACAAATGAGCAGATAGGCTTGACGAAGTTTAGGAAAAATGCAAGAAGAATTTTTGTCGTTCTGTCTTTCGCACATATCACTTCTTTTCGTTCAGTTTTACTTATTTATTTAAATTTTAATTACTTTTAAAAATAATGATTAATATGAGAATTTTACTACAATATTCATTTTATTGACGTTTGATTAGTCTTAGATTTTAAAATTAATTTAGGGAATAAATAATAAATGTTGAGGGTAAAACATAAGAAAATAAAATATTTTTTTCTTGATATACTAAGTGATAAGTGATATGAGGTAAATATATTTTAAGAGTAGTGGACAAGTAAAAAAACCATCAACTCTATACAATGTTTTTCTTATACGTAATTTGCAATTATGCAATTTTCATTTCAAAAACATTCAAAAGGAAATCTTGGATCAATAATAAAATTATCTCCTATGACCTATAAATCACATATTCAAGCCACGAAATCAACCATCAATACTTTTGATAGGGTAAGCTTCCTTTCATTACACCTAGTTAAGATATGACCCTTTCATGAATTTATAAACGCAGAATGCTTCTGTATTTTAAAAAGTTTAAATATATATATATATTCGACTTTATTCACACAAAAAAAAAAAAACCTTAATATGACTTGATGCTTCAAGCACCAAACTATTATTATTATTATTTTTTAACTTGTAAAAAGTCAATACATATTGGACCCTGAATAAAAACAATATATCTAAATTTACATTTATTTTTTTTAATACAAAATACATCGTACACGACCAAACAAACCTTAAGTTGTGGGGGTGGGGGAGTGGGGGGGATAAAAGAGGTAGAAGAACATACTAGGAATATAGGCAAAGGACCCAACACAATGGGGATAAAAGCATGTGCACACATATTCATTTCTTAGCCTGCATGTGAACTTGTTGGGCTTTTGTCACATTGGAGTCAAACCCTATTCCATGTGTAGGGCATCCCACAATTAACCCCTCTCCTCAAACCCTAGTGTGTCAATATATATACAATATATATTTATATTGATGATCATAAGTCAATCATCCCACAATAAATACTATTATTTTGTGTGTCAAGAAATGATGATCATAAGTCAATCATCATTGCTAATGGAAATTATTTATATTGATGTTTCGATGTATGTATATATATATATATATATACACACACTTGTAGACATAGTTATTGGTGGATGGTTTAATTAATTATTTATATTAGTCGTGTCTATTTTGAGGAACACCTATTAAGGATAGAAAAATTTCAATTATTTCCCAATTATCCGAGCTTTATAAGGATCTCAGGATTCCATTCATTCACTGATGTGGGACATTCCATTTATTACACCACGTCACGCTTGAATACAAACGTTCTTTATTCGGGGTTTCACTATCTTGTCTGGGGGTGCACGTTTGGGGGCCCATGTCGGGTTTGATTCTAATACCATGTCAAATTAGGTTTTGATCCCAACTCACACTTCAAAAGCTTGCTCAAATTGAGGAGAATTCTTCAAGTCTTATAAAAAATAGTATTTTACTCATTCATTGGTGTGTGACATTGCATTCATCACTTCCTACAACCAAGTTTTCTTTGTTTAACCATTCACATCGAAAGTTTCCAACTAATTCTAATTCATATAAATATGTCCACTTCAAGGAGAAAAACACATATATGCCATGGAATTCTCCATTTTCAAACTCGAATTCAATTTTTTTAAATTTAAAATAAAGAAATCTCAATTGTTCCACCACATCTTTAAAGACCTGACAGTCATGGTCAAATGGGCCTTGCATCCATCAATTTGGAGCCTTCTTTGTTTCAAGAACTTTCCTTATTCATAACACACACATGACCCATATGATGTTTTAACTTTTATATACGGTACTAACAACAATCTATCTTATTTTTAAGATTATTAACCTATCTTTGTTATAAATAGCTATATATTGAATTTCAAGAAACATTATGGTATAAAAACCTCACTTATATATCAATGTATTAAATTTAAATTCGAAAAAAGAACTATATATATACTTAAAATTAAATTAGACTTCCAAGAATGTCAATCGAACATGTTAAAATGGTTTGACTCAGTAAATCAACTACTATTCAAAGAGTTGTTGGATTAGCTTTCAAGTTTTCCTTACCCATACTTTATTGAGAAAGAAGAGATTCAAGGTTGGTCATCCATCATTGTTGTGGTGATGCGGTTGAATGTTTGTTTAACCAAACACCAGGTACAATCATCAATCATGTCACATGATATCCATAAGTACTCGATGGCAGAACCACTCCAAGGGCGAATAGTACCCTAGGTATTATCCCTAATTTTACTTGGATCAATATAAATTGAAAATAGGTCATAGCCCAACTCCTTTAAGTCAGAATTCTTTTGTTTAAGTAATTTGTCCTTGGTTTTTACCTTATTTATTAAAAAAAATAATCTACAAAAGCCTAATAATGTTGATTGGGCTAATAATGCATTCCAAGTTGAACTCAAACTTTTGGATAGGTTGATTTGTGTAAACTTATTTGGTAACCCCTAAACGCATACATCATCGAGTCAATCCCTCCAAAATTCAAACAGTTAGACGGGGTACACATTTATGGGTCAAAATTGACACTCACTCGAAACTTTCATTATTCTTATAATTTTATTATTTAGTGAAAAGGAAATACATTTTTGCCATTGAATTTGAAGTAATAATTCATGGGGCAGACATACTCATTTATATAATGGTCCCCAAGGGAATAACTGTGTAATGAAACATAAGTGCATGATAATGGACCCGGGGACTGACCTAAATCGTCCCCGAGTTTACTTGGATCAACATAGATTGAAAGTAAATCATAGTACAACCTAACTAAAACATCTTTTCAACTCAAGCTTTTGGATAGGATGATTTGTGTACACTTATTTTTTTTAACCGGTTAACGCATACGTCATTGAGTCAATCCCTCCAAATTTGAACAGTTTGGGAGGGGTACACATTTACGGGTCAAAATCGACATCCACGTGGAACTTCAATTATTGTTTTTTTAAAAAATAAAATATTATTTACCCATGCATTTAATGGGCCCTAAGGGAAAGAAGGAACATAAGCTCATGATAATGGGCCCATAGGTATTGGGCTGACCCAAATGAAACCCAAACCAACAGACAAGAAAGTAAGTACTTAAAAAAGGATGTAATAAAAGTCCAAAAAAAACTCAACTACACGTGTGGGAGGCCCACATCTCACCTATCAACATTTAATACGTCGCGTCACACGTGTGTATCTTTTTTTATTAAATAAAATGATCTTTGATTTCGTGCGTGTGGTTATAAGAAATTTAAGTATTATAATATTTATCATCCTGTTGTATTATATCGTATTATTTTGTTAAATACAATCCTTATTTTGAGTGAATCGTACTGTTAAATTTGTAGTTATGAAGCAATTTCGATCAATACCTCTAGTCAATATTCGTGTTTTAAGGTGTCTAATCAATTGTTAATTTCTTACGACGTCTATATATAGAGAAAGAGAACTATTTTTG